GGAAAAAATTTGCAGCACTGTAAACCACCAGTGTAGCCAAGCCCTTAGGCCTGGGGCACTGACACAGTGCAAGCCAGAATTTGTCTGAATACAGGTGAAAACCCATATTTTTATTATCTCAAACACCATCCAAGCTTTTCAACCTGCATTTCCAAGGGAAAGAGATCAGGTGGTACAAGTCCACTCCCCAGAGGAAACAGGTCCACATAAAGTGACTGCTCTGTTAATGTAGCGGAATGCAGCACAATTGGCCTGTTCAGGAAAGAATTAACACAGTTGACTGAATTACTGTATCTATTATGGCAGAGATTGTGATACTGTAAGGTCAGTGTACGAAGAATTGGCAGAACAACTGAAGGGAGAATATATTTATTCAATTTAAAAATGCTTTAAATATAGTTTCCCAACCTATCTTGTGCACCAAAAATCAAGAGATGTTAATGGAGAACCTAGGCAAATACAGGAAATAGCGTAACTGGGCATTAAAGAGTACCTGCTTATTTACAGGAATGATGTATACATGGTTATCAACATGGAATCTTTCTACCATGCAGAATCAGAGGGTAACTAGTATCTGAAATATGAATGAACTTTTGGTAAAAGTACATGGGTATCTCCTAACCACTTCTATTAGAAATGAACCCTTGTGGTTACTCATGTATTTCACCTTCCTTAAATTGAAAGGGGCCCAATTCTCCTCTCTTATACACTAGTGTATCTCCACCAACTACAATGGCAGTAATATACCTTCAATTTCAAATATACCACACTGCAAACAACCCCATAAAAACAAAATTTACTTTATACCTGCACGTGCTATTTATGATTTCCTAGTTCCTTTTGTTAAATATGATATTTATATTTGTGATTAAACAAAGGTTCCTTGTAGTCCATTTTTGAATTTACAACCTCACAATTCACCTGGCAACAGTGCAGCAGCAAACACCTACATATAACTTAATTGCAGAATTAAACAGAAGATTGCATGGTATGGGAGAAAGAGCTCTTATTCAAATACTAGTTTCTAGAATAACTGGAGTATAAAGAAACCAGACCAAGTCTGCTGCACTGAAGTGTTCTTCAGATATCAGAGGGCCTGGTGTCTTGGTAAAACATGATTTGAAGAGGTATCAAGGAGGAAAGAGAGACAGTGTGTGTTGGATGAGAACTAGAAGACTTGCACCAGAACTCTGTGGAGAGCAAACCTGGATTGCCCAACATAGTGAATAGGGCTGTAATCAAGCCAAGAGAACAACAAGGCCTGGCAAGGGTTTCAGCAGCAGGCATAATGAAGAATGAGCAGACTGTGGTGATACTGAAAAGGAAAGTGCCAGGACTCCATGAGGGTGGTTATGTGGATGAGAATAAGAAGAAAGTCAGAGGTAACTGAAGTTCAGAGTCTGAGACAAGAAGGATAGAAGAGTTTTAAAGGTGAGAAAAGTTCAGTTTGGGAGTCTCTTTTTGATTAGTGAGCAGTACAGTTGAAGATACACTGCTGGACAGAAGGAGGTGAGATCAGTGTGAATTTAGGACCTATCTGTCTGGAGGTGGTTGCTGAAACCATGCAAGAGGATGAGATCACCAAAAGATAAAAAGAGGAGAGGGCTGAACCCTGGAGAGTGCCCAAAGAAAGATCTGAATGCGGGAAGGAGTTGGGAAAAGGAGCCACTGAAGTTGATACTGAAGAAGCAGTCCACCAGTTAGGAAGCCCAGGAGAACAGAGCTCTACAAACAGGAGCAGTAGAATGGTAAAGAAAAACAATGGAGAACAGGCAATCAGGGTTTAATGCACAAAAAATGGTATCCCAATGAAGGGAAGAAATAAAACTAAATGAAGATGTTCTAAAACCTAAATAGTACTTTTGCTTCACCAAGAACTGAGCAATTAGCCACAACAAGGGGGGAAAAGAGGTAATATTCAAGATTCAACCGGTAATGCATATTGAACATAGAACAAGCAGCAGGTGACAGTTTCATAGAGATATGAATCTGCTTGAAGGCTGGATTGTCAGCTGGCAAATGAGACTTCATACTGATATATCTACACAAGGCCCCACAGGACTCCACTTTGTGAAATGACATATATTGGACATCTCTTCAAAGAAAATTATCAGTAACATTCCAGTAAACAGTATCTTGCCAGGTAACTCTCTTGACAGTGAGATATTTTTTGCCTTTTTTCAAGAAAGTTTGTCATACATGAAAAGCTAAAAACGTTCAGCATCTGGTAGCCAACTGGGTGAAGAATTCTCTTCTCTAGCACACTAAACTAGAAAATTCTTACAAAGCAAAACAGTTGAAACCATCCACAAAGCACTACAGTAATAAACACAGAACGGATTTAAAAGCACATTGACAAGCACTTTATTATACTATAAGGACTGTATTTCAAAAGGGCAGGGAATTCATATGAATACTTCACATTAGGTGCTCGAACTGACTAATTGCATGCATGGGGGTACTTTCACCTGCATATGCATTAGCTAGGTGCATATGCAATTAGAGGTAAACACAAATGTGGGTAATACACAGATCTCAGCTTTTGAAAATTTGGCACTACATTTTTGTTTATATACACCCCTACAGATCATGGTGCCTTTTTTCATTTGGGCGAACTTTAACGGAAGGACTCAGTTTACATACACTAAGCAAATTTTTCAAAGGAGATGTAAATTTCAGGCACAAGGTTCCATCTAGGTAAGTTACTATTGCACCCACAGTACAAAGAAGCAGACTTCCAGAAAACAGAACCCCTGAAGTTAAGAGCAACAACGGATATCTCAGTTTTCCTGTGCACCTTATCACTCCATTAAAGTGACAGCTATTTCAAGAACAAATTCTTAAGGGATCTTCATTAGAAAACACAAACTGGAATCCTGTAGCATGCCTGTGCACAGTATTTTTCAGAAATTAAAACAGAGCCGCTAGTCATTCTATGACTAATCCCATTTTACTCACTAGAATTCTGGTGCAAGTTCCATACTATAAGGATTTTCATTTTTGTCCCCAACACAGAGTTTACATTTTGCAGATACTTGCAGCTATCATAATACTAAATCAACATGAAAAGGTGATGTACAAATAAAACCTTTAGGCGTGGGAGGCTCTTACTTAATTCACAAGGGCAAATCAAATTTTAAGTCAGGAGTAAAGATCTGGGCAGACATGACTCCAACCTTTGAGCAGCTGAGCTTAAACAACAACATAAATCCAGGGTGCTAAACTATATTTTAAAATTTATGTGTGAATGTAGCTTGTACCAAGACCTGTGGGGTAGCGACTAGGACAACAGCAGAGAATAACCTGGAACTTCAACTCATGCTACTCATTGTGAGGTAAAATCATTAATAAAAACACCACCATGCCAGATGAAGTACTCAGTCTGGCATGTATAGCTGAGCTCAGCCGGATGACTCACATGGGCTCAGTTTTGGAGGGGATCATTAGTGTCTCCGAAAGGGAGAGCAAACTGCCAACAAAACCTCAAAGATCCAATACTATGGTTCTTGTTCAATAAACCATTTCTTAACACAAGTGTCATCGTTATCTATTACCCAGCCTCTAACTTCCCTTTTCTGGAGAAAATAATTAAGAAGATAAGTAATGGAGAAACTTTCCATTCTTTTAACATCAGACAATCACATTTCAGACCAGGACAAGTATGGAAACAGCAATATCAGATGTGTCTGCTAGCTGTGTTACATTTTTCAGTAACCTTTGATACAATCAACTACAAGGTGCTATTTACATCTCTGCTGGATTTGGCAGAGGTGGAAGTAATTGCCTTAAAATAGTTCTGCTTTTTCCTCTCATAGAAATGGAAGACTGCTCTTCCTCTTTGAGGGCTCTCCTTTGTGGTGTTCCACCAGGCTCTGTCTTGTCACTTCTCTGATTCAACATGTAGATGAAGCCTTCGGAGGAAGATAATGAAACAGGGGCTACAATGTCTTCAATGTGCTGAAAAACTAGACTCTGTTGTTGCTTGAACTTCACACATTTTGTGTTGTTTAACCTTAAGTTTTTAAAAAGCATGTAAACCTATAAAGGCCCACTTTGTATACAAAATTTAGGCATGTGCTAGAGTGTAGCTTTCGATCAGTAACTTTTAATCATGTAATGCTCTAATTCAGGAGATTCTATCTCCAAGCTAATTGCTAAGCAATACCATTTTATTGCTCAAAACTATACTGTGTATCATCGGGCCAGCTTCAGAGTCCTTAATTTGAAGCTGCCCTAGCAAACATCTAGCACAGACTTTATGCTTATTTGTGTAAGGGTTGAACTGCAGATTGTTGAAATGAAGAAAAAAAAATAAAAGAAAAAGAAAATGAATGGCGAGAACAAACAGAACTATCTTCCTGAACATGCAAAAGAAATATAGTTTTATAATTACAAGCCTATATTAGCACCAAAGATTAGAAACTGGAAGCAAAAGTTATCTGCTGACACAAGTGTGTTCCAGGAGCTGGAAAGCACGGGGATTCCCAAACAAGGAACAAATGGGTAAAATAAGGAAAACAGCTCTCACCCGTAAAACGAAAGATATTAACAGTCAAAAAAAAAAAGGTATAAAAGTAATATCTGTTTAAAAGGTCAGAAGAGATGATTAAGGTGGAGGTACAGTTATTTACAAACAAATTTACCCTCAATCTTTGAGGAAAACAATATCTATGGGCAATTCTGTAATTCTCATTTGAGCTAAGACACCCATATTGAGAATTATGACAAGACTAAGACATGCAGACCTCTTGGGGGGGCCAAATCTTTCTATGCAGCAATAATCTATACAAAATGTTTTTGTGCGTCACCTCTAGCAATATTAAAAATATTTTCAATGTAGAAATATTCATTCTGCATTCACATCAATACTAAGTTTTAATAATTTTCTTTATCCTTCATATACAGAGCCTCTTAACCATAAAATATTCAAGAAACAGTGTATACCCATGACAATCTCTCTCAAAAATATTATCCTATTACGGTACCTCCTGAAGGCCTCAATAAAAATTGGGGTGCCAGTGTTTTAGGCACTGGATAAGAATACAATTATTTGCAGAATGCAGTGAATAATAGGAATATTGCAGATACATGTAGATCTAAAAGTCCTGGTCTTATTACTCATGCCCTTTTAAACTATAACAGGAGGTACATGTAATGACCAAACATCTTACTAAACTATATAAGGATACCATGATTAGTTGCACTAAATATGAATAGTTATATTTCCAATATTTAAAGGAAATGTGAATGATTTTTCTTAACTAACCTATCAGTTGTAAATGGTTACAAAAGTAGAAGAAATAAAAAAAAACCATTAGTTCCAGTTAAATAATTAAACTACCAAAGAAGAGAATGAATGAAGACAGACTAATTTAGTTACTGTTTAGGCAGGAAAAAGTTATCTGATCAAAATCTTAAGATTTGTGCTTGGAACAGAATACAATTTCTTTAGTGGTTTTCAAACTTTTTAGGCTGCGTAGCCCTTTCCAAATAACATAGTCTACTATGTACTCCCATATGAAATAGGGTCATAATATAAATATGAAAACAGAAAAATAAAAAGGTCTGTAAGGGATAACAGGATACAACACAACATACAAGTCCTAGAATGTGTTGTCTTGGATACTACTATTATTATAGCCAACAATTTTATTATATATACACTTTCATTTTGGATAAAAATAGTCCCTCATACAAGTTTCTAGTTGTTGATTAGATGCTAAGTTGTACTATATAAAATGCGTTGTCTGCCATTACAGGATTTTTCTCACATACCCCAACAAGAGCTCATGTGCCCCAGTTTGAAAACTACAGAATACAGTAGCATACCTCTATATCCAAACAGGAAAAGGACATCTAAGCTTGGACAGGAAGCAAAAGACAACAGAAAAATGAACAGTGAAGCAGTATCCTTTCAAACAATGATGTGGATCCCTTCATCTACAAAATAAGCAGAACAGACACCAGCTTAACTTCAAATCAAAATAGGATTTTTACTGTGTTTATTTTTCAGAATTATCTCAGATGATCAGATTGCTAGATGTTTTTAGCCTTTTAATTTTGTTGACAGATGTCAGTCATATCAGTCTTTAAGAATTACTCTTAGATTGCTTCAGTATAAGGTTACCATGAACAAGCTAAGACATTTCTAACTTAAATTTCAGAATTCCTTATTTTATCAGTTATTTTTGTTTTTTCATATTTCCCTGTTATACAGGGATTTAAGGGCACCTCATTCACTTTTTATTAAATAGAAACACATTTTCTTCCACCTTTAATTTCAGAAGCAAACCTAAATAGGAGACTACATATTTTACAAACAGAGGTCTCTGCAGGGCAGAATATGCATTATAATCAATTACAACTCATTACAGTGAAAAAGTGACAGGAAATTTCATTCAGAGAGTTGCTTCCACCACTCTCATCGGTCCAGTACATACAGCAGAATACATATCTTTTGCTTAGCGTTTTCCTTCTAGAATCCTCAAGCATAAGTGAGGATTTCTTTATTATAAAGATTTCTTACTGTAGACTACCATTCCTACGATATCCTACCACCAATACAAAATATACACAATAAAAAATTCTGCCATGCACCATTCCTACCCATCATCCAAATGACATTCAACTGGAAGTCCCACAATTTAGTGGAAAAAAGACAGAGAAAAATGTAAGTATCTTGCATTGTAGCATAAATATATCTAGGCGATGATGGACACGTCAGAGGAAAAGAGTTCTAAAGCCAAAGGATCTTCCACTGAGGTGGTCATAATTCTTGTTTAAAAAAAACCTTTAAGCAAACATCACACACAAATTAGAATCAGGAATTAAATCCAGGGACAACAGTAAGAGTATTCAAACAGCAGCAAACGACTGCCATGGCATGACACACAGTCTTTTAAACAATCTGAGGTCATTGTTCTATCTTGCTATAATATTTACAGAACCTCAAATATTTTCCACCAGGTGGATCAGAATCTCATACTAAACATATATTTTTGAAAGTGCATGTTCTTTTCAAAGCTATCGTCCCAACTGACATATCTAATACAATTGTGTTAATGTACTTACACATTAACTAACAACTAGATATAAATAAATGAAAAGGGGCATTTTCTCTACCCTTGCATTCCAAGTATTAGTGGGAAAAAGACAAAAGTTCAGTTTAAGACAAAAATACACTGATTTTCTTTTTTTAAACTAACAACAGGTTTTTGGTGGGAGAGTTTCCCTACTATAGCATAATCTCCCCCACCCCCCTCTCTATTTAATCAAAGTTTTGGGAAACTGCCATATTTTAAGCACCATTCCCTATGTTTATATCATATCTGTAGGATCAAGCAATCAAAAGTGAGAAATCTGCAGCAACTAATATAGCTAAATTAAAAAGTTCTTGGGGAAAATGGTATTTTTCCTCATTTCTAACCATCAATGCTGGTTATTAAATCATTTCATATTAAAAAGAGGGTGAGTTATTTCTATCTTCCTCTGTTTAATATATATAAACTCAAATTCCTATACACAGATGAAAAGAACATGTAGATTTATCACAGATCTTTTTTCCCTGGTTTTGGGGAACCCTTGTAATTTAATGATTTAGGGTGAGATTTTCAAATGTGCCTAACCTCTATAGGCATCCAATCCGCATTCAAATTTCAATGAGTATAGATAGTGACTGTGAAATGCTCAGGGAGATTAGAGCAGCTATAAAAATAAAAGACTCAATAATAATGAGTTTATAATGTCAGGATGGGATGCAGAGATAAAGTTTCTTGACACCTTAAATGACTGCTTCTTGAAGCAGCTAGTCCTGGAACCCACAAGAGGAGAGGCAACTCTAGATTCGTGAAGCACAGGATCTGGTCCAAGAGAAGAATACAGCTGAACCGCTTGGTAATAGTGACCATAATATATTAAATTTAACATCCCTGTGGCAGGGAAAACACCACAGAAGCCCAGCACTGTAGCATTTAATTTCAGAAAGGGGAACGACACAAAAATGAGGAAGTTAGTTAAACAGAAATTAAAAGGTACGGTGTCAAAAGTGAAATCCCTGCAAGCTTCATGGAAACTTCTTAAAGACACCATAATAGAGGATCAACTTAAATGTATACCCCAACTTAAAAAAAACATAGTAAGAGAACCAAATAAGTGCTACCGTGGCTAAACAAGAAAGTAAAAGAAGCAGTGAGAGGCAAAAAGGCATCCTTTTAAAGTGGAAGTTAAATCCTAGTGAGGAAAATAGAAAGGAGCATAAACTCTCGCAAATGAAATGTTAAAATATAATTATGACAGCCAAAAAAGAATTTGAACTGCTAGCCAAACACTCAAAAAAAAAAATTTAAGAACATCAGAAGCAGGAAGCCTGCAAAACAACCAGTGGGGCCTCTGGATGGTCGAGATGCTGAAGGAGCACTCAAGGACGGATAAGGCCATTGCAGAGAAACTAAATGAATTCTTTGCATCGCTCTTCATGGCTGAGGATGTGAGGGAGATTCCCAAACCCGAGACATTCTTTTTAGGTGACAATTCTGAGGAACTGTCCCAGATTGAGGTGCCATTAAAGGAGGTTTTGGAACAAATTGATAAACTGAATAGTAGTAAGTCACCAGAACCAAATGGTATTCATCCAAGAGTTCTGAAGGAACTCAAATGTTAAATTGCAGAACTACTAACTGGTATGTAACCTATTATTTGAATCAGCTTCTGTACCAGATGACTGGAGGACAGCTAATGTGATACCAATTTTTTAAAAAGGCTCCAGTTTTGACCCTCGCAATTACAGGCTGGTAAGCCTAACCTCGGTACCAGGCAAACTGCCTGAAACTATAGTAAAAAAACACGATACGTTGGGGAAGAGCCAATATAGTTCTCGTAAAGGGAAATTATGCCTCATCAATCTACTAGAATTCTTTGAGGGGGTAAACATGCATGTAGACAAGGGTGATCCTGTGGATATAGTGTATTTAGATTTTCAAAAAGCTTTTGACAAGGTCCCTCACCAAAGGCTCTTAAGCAAAATAAGCTGTCATGAGATTAGAGGGAAGGTTCTCTCATGAATCAGTAACTGGTTAAAAGATAGGAAACAAAAGGTAGGAATAATGATCAGTTTTCAGAACGGAGAGAGGTAAATAATGGTGTCCCGCAGAAGTCTGTACTGGGACCAGTCCTATTCAACATATTCATAAATGATCTGGAAAAAGGGGTAAACAGTGAGGTGGCAAAATTTGCAGATGGTACAAAACTACTCAAGATAATTAAGTCCAAATCAGACTGCGAAGAGTTACAAAGGGATCTCACAAAACTGGGTGACTGGACAACAAAATGGCAGATGAAATTCAGTGTTGATAAATGCAAAGTAATGCACATTGGAAAACATAATCCCAACTACACATATAAAATGATGGGGTCTAAATTAACTGTTACCACTCAAGAAAGAGATCTTGGAGTCATTGTGGATAATTCTCTGAAAACATACACTCAATGTGCAGCGGCAGTCAAAAAAGCGAACAGAATGTTGGGAATCATTAAGAAAGGGATAGATAATAAGACAGAAAATATCATATTGCCTCTATATAAATCCATGGTATGCCCACATCTTGAATACTGCATGCAGATGTCAGCGCCCCCTCTCAAAAAAAGATATATTGGAATTGGAAAAGGTACAGAGAAGGGCAACAAAAATGATTAGCGGTATTCAACAGCTGCCATTATGAGGAGAAATTAATAAGACTGGGACTTTTCAGCTTGGAAAAGAGACGACTAAGTGGGGATATGATAGAGGTCTATAAAATCATGACTGGTGTGGAGAAAGTAAATAAGGAAGTGTTATTTATTTACGCATAACACCAAAACTGAGGGGTCACCAAATGAAATTAAATAGGCAACAAGTTTAAAACAAACAAAAGGAAGTATTTTTTCACACAACGCAGAGTCAACCTGTGGAACTCCTTGCCAGAGGATGTGAAGGCCAAGACTATAACAGGGTTCAAAGAAGTACTAGATAAATTCATGGAGGATAGATCCATCAATGGCTATTAGCCAGAATGGGCAGGGATGGTGTCCCTAGCCTCTCTTTGCCAGAAGCTGGGAATGGGAGACAGGACATGGATCAGTTGATTATATGTTCTGCTCATTCCCCCTGAAGCACCTGGCATTGGCCCCTGTCGAAAGACAGGATACTGGTCTAGATGGACCTCTGGTCTGATCTGGTATAGTCGTTCTTATGTTCTATGCTAGTACCTCCCCCGCCCAAGAAAAAATGACCTGGTAATTTCTGAAAAATACAAAAATGATGAAGATCAATCGGAAAATGTAACATTTAGCTATAAGCTATACAAGAAAGAAATTATGATACAACAAGAGAGGATTAGCTAATCATATTTTGTTTGAAAGAAACTCTCTCTATGGGTAGCATATTTCATAATTATCTATTATAGTGATTCTTGCATGATCTTCTGGTACCGGTCGCTGTTTGAGAGAGGATACTGGGCTAAATGGATCTCTGGTTTGATCCAATATAGCATTTGCTATGTTCTGAAATGGCCAGGCTATGTTTCACCATGATGTTTAAGAGCCCAATTCTGCACCCATTAAAATCAATGGCAAAACTCCTATTCCCTTGAATGGTGTAGGGTCAGGCCCCAAGAGGCTCTTCCATGACTTGAAAAAACAACAACAACTAAGCAGTTCTGACACCTGAATGCTCTTGCAACGGAACACCCATTCAATGAAACAGAATCACTGACACTTTGTATGATTCCCATATTTCAGATTACAGAGTGACTGAAATGTAGAAAGTGAAGTGAAATTTAAACATAAAATAATTCTTTGCCAAGTTTTATGTTTATAATATTTTTTTCATTTTCCTTGGCTAACAACAGATTCTTTATTGCCTAATAAAGCTTCAAGTGTATTGGCTGAATGATTTGAAATGTTTTGTAACAATATTAAATAAAACAGCATCACATTGTGAAGAGCTGGTTTTGGCAAGCATATTAAACGGGGTTTTCTGTTGACCATGGAAGCTGTCATTTCCAATATACTTACAGCCAGGCTAATCAAGACTGATCATTTTGATACTGTTTATAAAAGAAAGCTTCCCATTGAAGCGTCCAGTAATTACATTAATAAGGAAGATTAGGAATATGAATATTTATAAATAATTTTTGTATTAATTCTAGCTGGATTATCCAGTAATCCAGAAACGATATAAATGAGCTTTACTGACCATAAAACTGGACAACTCTCAAAAACCTAAGTGCAACCCTGGCCAACTGAAATATTTTTCTTGTTTCTTTCTTAATTTAAGGATTGAAGAAAACAATGGTAGATGGACAAGCAATTTAATGTGATTTAGGAAAGCTCACTTTAAAATATTGTTCAAACATTAGTTTTTAAAAACTGTCTATTTTTATTGTAAATGGTGGCATATGCAATGCCAGAATATCTTAATATATTAAGATTCTGCCTAGGGCAATGGTTAAAAGATTATTTTTTTTTATTTCAAGCTACCCTTGCTAACTACAACTCTTTATTAATCATTATTTCATAAATACGTAATCTCAATGGGGTATGTTTTTTGAAATTCAAGAAATCAAAAGCATTGTTTAAAAAAAAATCAGACAAAGATCACTCATGCTTTGCATATCTGGGTCATGGTACAAATACTCATGGATAAAACATCCTGTCCTAGCCTGCAGAAATTGCCTTCCTCAGTGTTCTGAATTCCAACTTGTGTTCTTGTCTGTAAAACAGATAGAGACTGAGAGGCATCCTCACTCCACCTAAGAACTTAATCCACAGTTGGAATTCAGAATACTGTAGAAGACATTTAATTGAAATGTTTGTCTAAAGAGTTGGAAAAATTAAATCTGATCAGATTATCTCAGGACTAGATGCACTTTAATCTCTACCAAAAAAAGAACAGGAGTACTTGTGGCACCTTAGAGACTAACAAATTTATTATTGCTCCCTGACAAAGCACAGGAACAAATCTGTACAGACACATGCCTAGAACCCCG